CTACGGGGCAAAAAAAAAAAAAAAAAGATGTCTAGTGAGGAGTGATATTTAAATAAGAGTCTGACTTCTGACAAGAGAGACCGATTGAATCAGTGGTTGATAAGGCTGCCAACATTGTGATAATAAATAGGGATAATAATAGTCCTTTTTAAAATCCTGCTCCAATCTTGCACAAATATGAACATGTATTCCAAGGCCGCTTTTTTAAATCAAAAAACCTTCAGAAGAATGTTTATAAGAGGTTACCTTTCAGTTCTACTGCAAACAACTGTCTGTCCAGCTATGAAGCTCTGCTACATGTCCTGCAGAGAGTGCTGAGAGTATTGCAAACTATATAGTGGAAGCACCCTAAGAATTGTTCTCTGCATAAAATACTGTAATAAAAGTTTTGGTATCAATACATATCGAAACACACATACACCAATACCAATATATCTCTGCTCTGCTACATGTGCTGCAGACAGTGCTCAGAGTATTGTTAACCATGAAGCTTTGATTTCTGCACGAGGAAATACGATTTGTAACTTAAATTCTGGTATCAGCACCTATCAGAAAAAATATATATCTCTCAGAGGTCAATAACTGACCTATGATATCGGCTTGAGGACAAATCGGTCGGACTGCAATCAAGACGTGTTCTCTTAATTTCTACACCTGTTCTGTGATGACATGAGTGCAGGTTTTCATGGATGCTCAGGGGTAAATCTGCTCTTACGGGTCCAGGTGGCCGTAAAAGCAATTAAAAGCTCTCCCACGTCTGGGAATGTAAGAACCTGATGTGAGTCATGTGTGCTGAGTGGATCACTCTCTAAGCACAACTGCAGCTCAACTTCGGCTGCTCTGACCAATCACACGCGACGAAAACACCTTTTTAACCTCTTTAATATCCTTCATTTTCTTCTTCATTAAAAAACTATAAAATACTCAAATAAAGGTGACATGATGATCAAAAAGATGTGAGGGATTATTAGCATTCTGGATCGGCGTCTGCTCATAACAAACTGCCTTTGCCACGCACGATAAACCTAACAAGGGGTTATATTAATGCGTAGTGCCGACCCCCTACTCATAAAGCACAATATGGCTGCCCAGCGTGACCTTGGCACGGGGTGGCACGCTGCCTTCTGTGCCGCAGAGCCCCCGTCGAGGCTTCGACCTGGCCTCCATCCAGCCCCTTTAAACACAGGGGGAGACGAGGAGGGAGGAAGAGTGAGGGGAAAGAGAAAGAGGAAGGAGAAGAAGAAGAAAGACAGATGGAGTTGACAATACTGTTTTCGTTGGGACAGGGAAGTAAAAGGAGACAGAGGAGGCTAAGAAAGAGGGGGGCGGCGGGGAGGAGGAGGTGACTGTCGCTTTGCTGTGTGGAGCTGCTGGAGCTGGGTAAACAATCAATATGCCATTACTGGCCATGCAAGCAGACAGGGGGGAACAAACAAGTTGTGCCCGCTTACTGAGCTGCAAAGTTCCACGTGACGACGACCCTTCCCCTCCCAGTGCATCCTCCCTTACCTCCCTTACCTCCCTCCCTACCCCCGCGACTCCCACCAGGGCGTTGCGGCTTCCCTGTGGGACACCGGCATTGTAATCTAGATTCAGTGGACATTAATTGCTCTGGATGTAAAGTAAGTGTGTCACTGCGCCGCCTGAGGGGTCTGAATACATGAATCTTTTAGCACTGCTTGGGCATGCAGGGTATAGAGGGGGGGTGGGGGGGAAACATAATGGCTAAATATATCCATGTCAGGCGATGGAAGCAGCTATTCGAGTAGACTTAGTGATGGTTACGTAAGCAGTGTACGAGAGGCGGGAGGAGAGGGAATCAGAGACGAAAAAGATAGAGAAAGAAGTGAAGAAACGGGGCGGACAGAGGAAGGGGAAAGGGACTTAAAGGACGGGATAAAGGAGCAGAGGGAACGCTGAAGCTACTCTGTGCGGTCCGATCGGCCATGATGGATGACAGGTGTGGCGGCGGCGGTGACAGGACCGGTTGATGGTATATCACAGATCGGGGATGCTAAAAGCTTGGGAGACCTCCTCCTTCCAACCCTGGAGGCTGAAATGGAGCCCTTCCCACGGTGGACCGAACACAGGAAGACAGTCTAATCCATGCATGAAACCCATTTGACTGAACTCCCCCCATTGGCAGATAGAGCACTTGATTCATCAGTGGATCATAGAAAAAAAGCAGCACTTCAAAGGCTCACGCCACCGATGTCTCCGGGCTGGGAGGCGTGAGAGGAGTGCTGCTCTTTGTCTCTGTTTCTTACACAAACAAGAGGAACTTTAAATGACCCTCCTTTACACGAGACTGTTTAGTTTGGAAGTCCATTTCTTTTACAAAATATACAAAAACCCATAAAGACAATATCAAAGCAGTGTGGTTGTGGCATTTCCAAAAAAAAGAAGAAAAAAAACACACACCAAAGACATGTAAATGGTAATACACAGAACACAACATCACTCGTGCATCCTGGATGAAAGTCCACTTGAAAAGTGAATATTTCTTACTAAATAAACTAAAGGGAGCAAGCTAGAGTAATTTCTAAATACATTGGAGTTTGAAAAATGTCTCTTCGTTGTTTTAAATTAAAGCTCCTGTGAGGAACTTTCAGTTTGTGATGATTATGGCGCCCCCCAGTGGACAGAGTGATACCTCTTATTTCTCCTCTGATTTGTCCTGAATTTGTAGGAAGTGTTTTGTGATTAAAAATCTCAAATTTGTTTTCTTTTAACTTTCAAAAGTATGAATAACTGTGAATCTTTACAACAGGACGATGTCAGTGAAGGCTGTTTCTGCAGAGTGCTGTAACTCACTTCGTCCTGACACCTGTACTGCGGCTGTAGCTACAAGTGTTAAAAATGAATATGTAGAAATAATCAATCTTATCGCTGATGGCTTTTGGAGGTCACAAAGAGGCATGAGAATTAATTTAAGTCTATTTAAAAAAACAGATAAAAAGTTTTCGACAACAGGAAGGACTTCTCTATGAAGAAAAAACCCCGAAAATGAATTCATAAAATTTCACAAGATAACTCCCTGATATGTTGATAAGGGAGGATTCTGAACAACGGAGGATTATATAAATGTAGATGAAGATTGTTAAGCATGTCTAGGCAGGTGAGAAGGTAATTGTACATTATTAACTAATAATATCTGAATAAATGGTAGACCTGTGTTATAATACATCCCTTTAAAGTTCAATGTTAAAATTTAAATAATGTTTAATTATTTAAACATTTTTCAGCTTGATCCATTACGGAACGATTACGGGAGCCACAGCTTTGCAAAACGTTGCTAATTTACTGTCTTTGTAGCGGTAATATTTTGTATGGAGAAGTACTCAACCCTGCTATAAACAGTCTGTACAGTCGTATCTGTGTGTGGGTGTATGTACAGTATGTTTATGTCTTTTATCATCTTGTCTCCTTCAGCCAAGGTGACACATCCTCCTCCTGTACACACCAGCTAACTTGTTTGTCTTATAACATGCAGACTTTGAGAGGGAAGAGGAAGACGAAGCCTCATTGGGCATGCAGGCACACTTAGCTACCCCCCTCCTCCTCCCCCCGTCTTCACCCTGTGCTGCCACGCCGTGCTCCCTGTGTAATCCTTTTAAGGTCCTTCTTGGCATTGTCACACTGTAAATAGAGGGTTATTCCCCCAGAAAAAAAAAACAGCCAGTCAGCTTCCACATCGCACTTCATATACTCCCACTCTTACGCTTCCAGTAGCATCATCTATCTTCAAGCTCAAGGGATCAGAGCACTGGCCATAATTTCCTTGGCTACAAGCAAAGAAAGAGCAAAAAAGAGGAGGGCGAGCTGGGTGCTAAATTGAGAACGCTAGAAATAAAGTTACAGAAGAAGAAGAAAAAGGGACTCTTAAAGAGACGATGACCTGCTAGTTTCAGCGAAGAAACAAGCTGGTGTCAGAGAGAAATGGCCGTTGATGTGAAAAGCCTAGAGGATGTCTGTCAGAGGGGTGTTGACTTATTCAGCTGAAGCAATGGCGGGGAAAGTTGTGCTGATGCAGCCGAGGCTAAACTCAATCCATACAAGCAGAGAGCGGTGCACCAGCCGGCTGCCTGCAGGCTATGAAAACCTAGCAAGTCGCTGTAACTGCAGCAGCTGACTGAGCTGAACGACTTTCTGCAAGACAATTCGCAGCAACTAATATTTAATCACGACTGTTGGAATATAGAACGTCAGCATTTTACTGTATATGCTTTATTATTAACCTTTAGAGCAGACATTTATTCCATCTATTTATCTCCTCGAAGCTCTCCAAGATTTAGATTTCCACGACACGACAAGAGGATGGATTTTTTCACTCTTTTCTGGATATTTTTGCTTTCTCAATGAAATAGCCTTTTATTACAATTTAGGGAGCTCGCAGCTAATCTCTTTGTCTTTGGAGTGTGCCCGCGCTAATTCCAGCACGTCACATTTAATTGTGAGCGGCATTTAATGGGCTTGATAAAAAGCCCACTGATCACTTGTTCCCAGGAAACAAAAGAACATCCTAAATACTTTATGGGGGCTCTTTAATGTCTTGTATTCCAGCCAAAGAGATACAGCGTAAGTGATGGAGAGTTGTTTTAATGTGTAAAGAGGAGAAAACAAGAGGAAAAACAGATTAGATATGGGCTTCCTTTGGTGATGTTCTCTGTGAGTAAACTGATGCCATGACAGTCTTAACCATCATCCTCATATCTAACATACAACATGCAACTGTACCAAGAAAAAAAACACTGTAAGAAACAACCATCACAGCTAAATGTTGACTTGACTGATGGAAAATATATAAAATACAGAAGATGTGAGAACATGTATACAGTATGTGATTGACATCTTGAAAAATATGGGATTACCACATATGTTAGAGTGGGGCACAGGTGGCCTTGTGGTTATGTCGCACCACATGTACGGTATGGAGGCTATAGACCGCCAATCGAGCGTTCCGGGTTCAAATCCGACCTGTTGCTCCTTTCCTGCATGTC